ATGGGTTAGATCATAAACTGGAGGCAATCACCTGAACAACATCATGTTTGTTCAGATACACAAAAAATAAATCGGCAAAATTAACATTAAAAAAATTGCCAAATAGCTCAATGAAATGAATGCCAGTAGAATAAATTATTTCGGCAAATTCACTTTAAATCGTTCTAGCACCTTGTAAAGCTAAGAATGGTATAAAATGAAATGTACTATTGACATCTAGAAAGTAGCTAAGAAACAGTTGATTTATTTATTTGACTGTTTAATTCCATGTTAAAACATTTAGTGATAATTGCACTGTGCATGCGATTCTTAATAGTAAAAGTAGTAGACACAGTGATATTTTTTGCGTATTTTTTGGAGAACGGTAGGGTTAATTAAAAGGTTTACTAATATTAGATATTATACATAGTAAAACATTGTGTTGATATTTGGGCAATTGTCCTTGTGTTTTGGGTTCCACCCCTGCCCTTAGGCGCTTCCGGCGTGCCTGATAATATGTTCGACAACTTTGGTCCTCGGTTTACAATAAAGAATTTAATAGCGATGTAATATGTTTTGGACTGAATGTAATTGTATTTTGAAAATCTAGTAGGGTATATGTAATTTATTTTTTCAAAAATTGAACAAAATTGAATAGATTGGTAATATATTTTTATCAAGTTTGAACATGAAAATAAGAACATGATAGAGTTTTAGTCTATATACATTTAGGATATTGAGTTCGTTAAATAGTGTTTGTGTGTGTGAGAAACGATCTACGTTTGAAACTATTTTTACAATCTGATTTTGTTTAGCAATTTTTTATTTTCGTCGTGTTAGTGCTACGCCAAGCTATGATCGCACAACTTAAGTAGCAATGAATAAAATAAAAGTAAATGTTTTTTAAACAAAATTAATTTAATAACTGCTGAGCTTTGTACTTTATACCTAAATTTTTCGATATTTTATCTTCAACTACATCTATATTTCCTTCCAGGTTACATTTTTGTCCAGAAACACGCCTAAAAACTATATTAATTGCTCTCTCTTTATTAACTTATTATCATTAAAAAGTTTCGGAAGTTCTAATTACTAATTTTTTATGCAGACGACAGAATAAGGTGTATTTTGTTTTAGTAATATTTAAAGATAGTTTGTTTGATTTAAACCATTGGGTTAGTTTGTCGAGTTCTTTATTTACTGTTTGAAATAATATATTGTTATCTTTATTGGAATAAAACAAGCTGGTATCATCTGCAAACAAAATTGTATTTAAAATATTATAAAATTTATTTAAATCGTTTATATAAACGAGAAATAGAAGTGTTCCTAAAATTGATTCTTGAGGAACACTACATTTAATTGTCTTATAATTGGTTTTTTCTTCATCATATACTATATACTGCTTCCTATTAGTCAAATAGCTCTCGGACCAGGACAAGTTAGTACTTTTTATACAGTAACTATTGAGTTTCAAAAGAAGGATTTGATGATTGACTGTGCCGTAAGCTTTAGGGTTAGGGTTGTTAGGGTTAACCTTGCATGAAAGTATTTATGTAAATCACAAGCGTAGTGTAAACATAAAATAAAAAACAAAAAAACTATTAATAACCGACGTCTGACGCTCTAAACAATGCTCTAAACTAAATCAAGTAAAATTGATAACATCCCATTGAAATTACTAAATTTTATTACAAACAAAACTATTATTAAAACGAAATCTTTGAAATGAAAATAAACATTCTAGAAAAAAATTTTCAAAAAGTGTTGGGATGATATACATCGCTTGGGCAAGTACCAATCATCTAAAGCTAAAAAAGCTTTACAGTAAGCAAAAGCATGCATGCCGAATTGTATTTGGTACTAAGAGAGAAGAACGTTGCGAACCCTGTGAGCCTTTATTGTGTTTACTTAGATAATTAAATAAAAAAATTTTATTAAACTTACATCAAATTTTAGGCTTGATGTGTAGAACCAAGTTAGGATTGTCTCTAAAAATATTTGAATCCTATTTTAGTGAAATCTGTCATAAATACACAACAAGATTCAAAAACAACTTGTTGTTCTAATATATAGTTTGAAACTGAGCTCATACTCAATTAAGTATCGTAAGCCATATCTATGGGAAATGTTCCCAGACATAGCTAATAAAAAGATTCTCTCACTAGATATATATAAAAAGGAATCTAAACGGTTCTTCTTATTTATGGATTATACTTTGCTTGATTTTAAGTGTTTCATTTAAATAAAGTTAAACTCAAATTTAAAAATTAAGATAAAATGAAAAAAAAAAAATTAATTATCAAAATCCATATAACAAAGTTTAATAATAATATTACCTCTCTCTCAGAATACTATGTATACTGAGGGGTCCCGAGGAGAAGATCTATAGGTGGCAATCGACAAATGTCAGCTAACGAGGGCATTTTTTTTAATAAGATCTTAGTCGGTATTAAAGTTTTTCTTGGCAGAAACAGATACATTACCCCCGACCTTCTTTAAAATCTCTTCGTAACGGCTCTGCCTCTATATGTGTGTAATATTTATTCGTTTTTTGCAATTGTAGAAAGTGTAAGCAGTTAGCAATTACTTTTTGCTATACTTTTTTTATGTATTAAAACTTATATAAAACAATACGATATATCTTTACATATTTACGCTTTTATAATAAAATATTTGTAAATTATGATTTTATAAAAATGGTGCGCGGTGATGAACTACTATGACTTCTTCTTGCCCTAGCTATTTTTTTTATGGTATATGTTACATATATGAAAATGTATATGTTATGTATATCAAAATTGTATATGTTATGTACAGGGCCGGCGCGAGTAGGTGTCACGTGGGGGGTGCCATTACAACTTTTGCCGATAGAAAAAAAAAGGTCCTCGGCTTTTTAAAATTTGCCGATTACCATAACGACATTCGCCAACTGACTGTCTAAATTTACCGACTAACCTGTCAAAAGGGTCTACATTTGCCGACTAAATAGTCAAAAAGGGTCAAATTTGCCGACTAAATGAACGAAAAAATCATTGATGGGGAAAGGTCACACCGCCCCCCACACACACCATTGCGCCGGACTTGGTTATGTATATGAAAATTATATTTATAGTAAAAGGCAAAAATAAACTAAACTTAAAAAAAAACCCGAAAGTTTAATAAGGTATAAATATTTTTAAGGTATAAATATTTAAAGGTATAAATATTTTTAATATTGTTAAGATGTTATGAATGTTATGATTTTTATGTTATGAATTTTATAATATTGTTATGAGATGTTATGAATTTTATAAAAATAAAAGAGAGTACACAAAAAACAGTTGCAAAAAACAGTATAATAGTACTGTTATAAAATGAACAAACAATATTGAAAAATTCAAAAAATTAAATTGAAAAAAAACATATAAATATTTTAAGGTAATTATTCCACTAAATCGACTTTACTAAAGTCAATTTAGTGGAATAATTATCTTAAAACATTTATATGTTTTTGTAGAAAATTTGTAGAAAACCCATAGTCGATTAAATCGACTGTTCAATTTATCGAAAAGCAGACTAATTTTGACTTTTGACTAGTCGACTTTTAGTCTATTAGAACTAAGTCGATAACAGCACTAATTTTTATTAAATGGATTTTACTCCTCTCTGACCTGATTTTTCAACGATTTTGAAGTTTCCTTTGAGGATTATATATCCACGAGCATGTTTTCTTATCTGTTTAAAAATTTTCTTTATGTTGCTTTTTCATTTGAAATTTGTAAAGGTTTAACCGTTATTATGTTAAGAAATTTTCTTAAAAAAAAGTTTCATTTTAGTCAGAATAGGCAACACCTCGCACTCTCTGGTCACAATTATTCCTAAGAGATTTTGCTTGAGTTTTATATTCCCATTCTTTTTTTTTTTTGCCTATGTTTTAGTTGATACTGAGCGTTTTTTCTAAGATTTTACGTTATAGTCCGAGTTTACTAAACATTAAAAAATTTTATTTCGTTTAGCCTCATTTCGGAGACCTTTCACATTTAGCGTAACAATTTTTACGTTCCTTTTTTTCTTCAAAATTAATTAAATTTTGCGCAAAGTGTATACTGTTAATAAATAGATTAATAGTGCTATACAGGTTTAAAAAAAAAAAATTTTGTATTTAAGAAAATTATTTTGTATTAAAATTAGTATTAGTTTTTGAACTTCGACAAAACTTCTTAGTTTTTAGATGACGAACTACAATTTTGAAAAAAAACTTTAAATAGATTATTACTATGCGGTATATTGTTAAATTAAGAAACACGTTGTGCTTTTTATTTTTAAAAAAGTTTTTCAAAACTCTAAATCAATATATTCATTGTATTAGTATCCTAGGATTACTCTTTAAATAGTTTTAAAAAATGACGAAATTATTTACTTGGTTACAAAATGACGAGATTATTTACTTGGTTACAAAACATTTTCTTTTTATCGCAAAACTTGTTTGCAATCATTTAAAACTTTCACGAGTAGGAAAATTCTGTTTATTATTAGAAAAAAATCCTTTTTATTAAAGACAGCTTCTTGTTTTTATCATATAACAATATATTTATTTTGATGAAAACAATATTCTAGACAAGGAATCGTGTAATTTGAACAAGGAATCGTATAATTTGAACAAGGAATCGACAAGGAATCGTGTAATTTGAACAAGGAATCGTTTAATCTTTAAAAATATAATCAATAATATGAATAAAAACAAAAACATTAAAAAGAAATTAATTATAAAAATTAAAAATTAATAAATGAAAAAAATCAAAAAATGGCTCCAACAATAAGGAGTTGAAATACCACTGTATAATTTTTTGAAACAATTTTTAACAGAATAAATTAATACGTGCTTCGTTAACCTAGTCTTGTTTGATTATATTTATACATTATATGTATTAGAGATGACCTTTAAAGAATTTATAATAATAACAGTAATTATAGTTAAAATAGTATTTAATTTAGTGTAAACAATGTGACAACAATATGAAAGCCTCAAGCATTGTTACCTGTAAACATCGATCCACTCATGCAAGAAGCTTTTCCATTTAGTGAAAAAAATGTAGTTTTTGAAGGACAACTGCAGGAGTTGTTAGATTTTACCACAGCATTATAAATATTACATGTAGTAGAGTTTTGGAAGTCATTATTGAATAGCAAAGAGTCGTCAACTGTTGATCGTTCTACTATATATTCTGAACGAGTTCTTGTCATTAATACCAAAAAAGTTAAACAAAAAAGTTTCATTTTTACTTAATAAAATAAGTCGTCAGATTTCAATCTGTTGAATAATGAGTTAAAAAATTTTTTAATAAATTTTTTTTATGCTGGCTTATTCCAATACTTTTTTATAATCCAATTTAACACTACGTATGCACGTAATCTTTTTTGATTTATAAAAAAAGATATATCATCATTCTTATAATAACAATAAATTATTAGCAAATCATTGTAAATCTAAAAGGAATCCTTTAATTATGGCTTATCTTTCTGGAAATGTTAACATTTTTTTTTCGACATATTTCAGCGTAATAAATGCTTAATGATGCAGGGAAACGAGTTCGGTAGCAAGGAATGTGCGCTTCCTCGTTCCTGGACAATAGTGGAATTAGCGCGTTATCTATTATTCATCTAAAAGTTAACGGTTTGTTAGTGACAGCTATGGTAGATACGGGTTGTTTAAAGACAATTATACATTAAAAACTGTTGTTAAGGAATCAAAATAAATCCCAGAATCCTTTAAAGGTAGTAACTTTTGGCGGCAAATTTCATCAATGTAATGGATTAGCGGCTGTCATTATTGAGGTTGATGATATTCAAGTACAAGACGAAGTTATTTTAGCGGATTTTCAACCGTTTGGAGTTGATATGATGCTGGAAATGAGTTCCATTAAATTGCTAGGAGATTTTATTTCCCCGTCTGGAATAGCAAAGTTTGAGTTCGGCTTGTGTGGAATAGCATGTCACAAAGAAAGATAAAGTCAATAAAATTGAAATTAAAAAACAAGATCATGAAGCAATATTTAATGATGTCGAATGGGAAGTTAAATGGAAATGGAGAGATTGAGACGGCCCCAACCAGTTGGTTAACAAATTTGCCCAATACATCATACCAAAATATGTAAGAGCACAATATGAAAACGAACTACGGGATTGGATCAATCGTAAATGGTTAATTGAATAAGACAAAAATAAGATAGGACCACCGAGAGGGCAAATTTCCTTAATGGCTGTTATCCAACAAAATAAAGATAATAAAGTCAGACCCGTCTTGGACTGGAGAGAAGCTAACAGTTTTATTGAAACCTATACAAGAGATGCAGATGTGTATATTGAGAAGCTGAGGAAATGGAGAAGAATGGGAAAGAAACCAGCAATTATTGATTTACACAAGGCTTATCTCTAATTAAAAACTGAAGAATCTCTTTGGCCATTGCAAACGGTGGTTTTTCAAAACAAAAGGTATTATTTGACACGGCTTGGTTTCGGATTAAATGTTGCTAGAATGATCATGAAATCTAATGTGAGTGCCATTATTGATCAAGATAAATAGGTGAAGAGAGGAACATCGGCTTAGGTGGACGATATTTTAGTCAATGAGGATGTAGTGAGTCTTGATTATATCAAAAGACATTTTGAAAAATATGGTTTAGAGAGTAAAGAAGGTGAGCAGATTGGATGTAATGGGGTTCGTATTTTGGGATTACGTGTGTTCAAGGTTGGTGGCAAGTTGACCTGGTCCAGGGAGAATCAAGTCGACGCAATGCCGAAAATGTTAAGTAGATGAGTAGTCTTTTCCGTTTGTGGGCAGTTAGTAGGTCATTTACCAGTATGTGGTTGGTTACGTGCAGTTTGTAACCTTTTGAAAAGAAGAGTGGTTAATTTGACGAAGGATTGGGACGATGAAGTTTGCGATGAAAATTTAAAGCGTGTACTTCAAGAGGTTTATGATGAGGTTGCAAAGTGCGATCCAGCTTATGGTGATTGGGCTGTACATGGTGGCGAGGGGAATGTGTGGGTTGATGTAAGTTCTTTGGCAAGTGATGCGGTTATTTAAGTTGGTAAGATGCAACATGGCAACGAAAAGAAATGTCTGAGAATCACATAAACATGGCGGAGCTAGATGCTGTAATGCAAGGAATGAATGTGGCTTTGACGCGGAAATTAAAGAAAGTAACTATCTTCACAGATTCCGTGACAGTGTTACACTGGGTCTCTGACGCTCTCACTGATAAGTCAAGATCGAAATCAAAAGCACTGGACGAAATGTTGATTTGAAGAAGATCCAACAACTGATTCATTTAAAAATTATCTAACACCCACAAATAAAGCAATCATGTACGATAAAGAATTTGTATATAAAGAATTTGAAGAAGCCTTTTCCTCTTTAAAAAAAAAGAAAGCACCTGGATTTGATGAAACAACTAGTGATTTAGTTATCTTTAATAAAACCAGTTTAAGTAGACCTCTGATCCATATACTAAAGCTCTCAATAACATCTGGGATTTTCCCTGATGTACTTAAATTAGCAAAAGTAATCCCTATATTTAAATGAAATGAACATTCGGACATAACCAACTTTAGACCTATATCAATACTTTCTGTTTTTTCAAAACTCTTCGAACGTGTAATTTATAATAGAATCTATAATCATTTTACCAAAAACAAATTATTTTACCCAAACCAGTTTGGATTTCAAAAAAACCTTTCAACAGAGCATGGAATTATTGAATTAGTTAATCAAATAACCGATGGTTTTAATCAAAACAAATTTACTTTAGGAGTTTTTATTGACTTATCAAAAGCTTTTGATACAGTTGACCACTGCATCCTATTAGATAAACTAAAATACTATGGTATAATTAATAAAACTTACAATTGGATTAAAAATTATCTTACCAATAGAAAACAATATGTGTGCAATATACAATCTGGAGTATTAAATGTTTTATGTGGAGTTCCTCAAGGATCTATCCTTGGTCCACTTCTGTTTCTAATTTTTATAAATGATTTTTGCAATGCATCTTTAAAACTAAATTCAGTCATGTTTGCTGACGATACAAATCTATTTCTTACTAACAGTGATATCAAGAATCTATATGCAGACATGAATATCGAACTAATTAAAGTAAATAATTGGTTTAGAGCTAACAAACTCTCGCTTAACTCAGAGAAAACAAAATATATATTATTCCATAAAAAGGCGCAAGAAGAAAACCTTCCTCTTAAGTTGCCTAATGAAAATGTATATAGGGGGCACTATGATAAGATTGCGATGACGTTTTGTCATCTTCATCTTCTTTGAGCCCCTGTCTGTTTAACTCTTTATTTTATAAAGATCATTGTAAAAAAGTATAGTTTATTTTATATACTGTATATACAAAAACGGTGCTTGTTGACAAGATTTTACTGTCTTCTTTGTTATACGGACATATTTCTTTCTTTCTTGTATATATATGTGTTGATTATATTTGTTAAACAGCAAAAAAAAAAAAAAAAAAAAAAAAAAATTAAGCGTTCCGCAACAATGTATAAAAGAATATAGTGTTAATGTGAATGTAAAACTTGTTCCTTAAAAAGAAAACTTAGCTGACGCATTGACTAGAGTTCGTAATAGATGGTTGAATAAATTGACGGAGGCTAAGCATTCGAGTAATTCCGCTGGAGGAGTATTTGGTCAGGGCTAGGGTTAGTCAGTCTGATTATAGCATAACTACATTATTTCAAGATATGAACATGGAATTAACAAAAATATCTGATTGGTTTAAAATGAATAAACTTTCACTAAATGTTGAAAAAACAAAATGGACACTTTCTCATCCAGCGTCCAAAAAAAAACTACTTCCTTGTGAACTACCTTAACTTTTTATTGATAAAATCCAAATAAAAAGAGTAATTAGATGAAAACCTTAGTTGGAAATACCATATTGAATTCTTGTGTAACAAAATAGGAATATTGTATAAAGCTAGAGGTGTGTTAAATAAACGTAGTCTAATTCAATTATATTTCTCTTTTATCCATTGTCATTTAAACTATGCAAATATTGCTTAATGCAATGACAATAAATGTAAACTGGAGCCTCTTTATCGTCAACAGAAGCATGTTGCTCGTCTTATTAATTTTAAAAACAGATTTACTTATGCCAAGCCTCTTTTATTTGAAATGAAAATTCTTAATACATATCAGCTGAATGCTTTTAATATTCTTTGTTTTATGTATAAATGTAAAACTAACTCTTACCCAGTTTCTTTCCATAATTTATACACGCTGAAATATAAAAATAAATACAATTTAAGAAATGATAATTTAATTCGTCAACCATTTTTTCAGACTATTTGGAAAATCTAGTATTTCTTTTCGAAGAGCTTTTCTTTGGAACAAAATAGTTTTAAAACATTTTAATTTTTTCTCAGCAATTTATTTTTCATTCAGAAATAAGCTTAATGAAATCATTTTGTCTCATGATGATATATTGTCATATTTTTAAACGTTATTAATTTGATGTATTATTTTAGTTTATGTTTATTCAGTTGAATGTTTATAAAAACATGCATCTCAATGTGATTAACTATATATGCACTTGACTATATATATATATTGAATTTTATGAAGTTTTAATTTACGAGTGGTACTTGATGACAAGACCTAATGGTCTTCTGCGAGTCTCCGCGTTCTTTTTATATTAACAAAAAAGTCTTAGTTTTATCTTTCATTTCTAATTGAGTAACTTTTTAACAAACTAATTGTAAATTTTTCTTAACGATCTAATTGTAATTTTTTTCTAACGATCTAATTGTAGGGGGGGGGGGGTGAAACATAATCATATTTTTTTAGATTTTTTATAGTTTAACCAACTTTTCATAATTAGTTTTTCATGCTGATTCTGAAAATTGTAATCATTTTTTTTCATTTTAATTATTTAGCCTTCTACTTCGATTTTAATAAAAGTGAATATATTGACAAAAAAAAGCATTGTTAAAAATAGATTAAATTATTATTATCATTGAATATAAGAAAAGTAGAAATCTTTTTCTGTTTAATTTATCAATAATATACCTTCTGATTTATAAGTAACAAAAAAAATTAAGCATTATATATAATAATAATTCATACAGTTTGTTATTTACTATTGAAAATGGAAAATAACTATAAAAGTCATCATAAGCGATAGAGATTGCTGCGGGAACTTTCCATGTAGAACATCTAGGTTATGAGCGTGTTCTTTGATAGACATAAGATGGAAGTTTGTATTTTTGTATCAACAATCATGTATTTAAACAGAATAGACCTCCGCGACAACACATTGT